CCATATAAGGCCATCATCAAGTTTACGTACTCTTTTTCACTAAACAGACAGTAAGACAATAATTAGATATTTATATTCATTATTTTGTCAACTTGACGCTTGTGCAGTTCAAACGCCAGAGGTTTGGTAAACACATCAGCTAATTGATCTCTGGAACTGATCCAGTTTACTTTGATCAGATTGAGTTTCACAAATTCCTTAATGTGATGGGCTTTGACACCTACAATATGTCTTAATTTATTTCCCCCACTTACTTCTGCACTACTCGTCACTGCCTTATTATTGCACCACAATGTCATAGGCAACTGGGGTGGAAATATTAATTTCAGAGAATTGAAAATAAACAACATCTCTTGACTCGCTTCGCTCATCGCAACATATTCTGCTTGACAAGTAGATAGGGCTACATAAGACTATTTATGAATTTTCCAAATAATTGGATCACCAAACAGTTTAATTACAAAACCACATGTAGTCAATGATCCTTTGCAATCAGTAAAGCTAGCATCTGAATATGCTTCAATCACATCAGTCTCACCAGCATATTTCAGACCCAGAGCAGTAGTACCTCTCAAATACCTTAGTACTCTCTTCACCATTTTCTAATCCTCATCTGTTGGACGCACCTGGTGTCTGTTCAACACATTGACCGCGGAGGAAATGTCTGGTCTAGTCATCCCTGTTAGATATAGTAAGCTACCTACTACTTCTCTGTATGGACAATTCATTTTCTCATCTGTTATAACATAGATCTCACCCACAACGTACGATTCTCTCAGTTTGCGCTCATGATTAGATGCCTGTGTAGTTAACATTGGAGTTCCTTGAGGATGTGAATTTTCAAACCCGTATTTAATCAATAATTTCTGAACGTATCTTTCCTGACTCAATTTTAATACTCTGTTCTCTCGATCTCGTTTTATTGAAATATTTAAAAATTCTTTTGGCTCACCTAGAACAGTCATTTCACATGCAGAACTCAGTGCTGATTTAACCGCATCTAGCTTAAGTTTGTCATTCCTCGCCATAATAATGTCATCTACATATTAACAATAAGATTAAGAATTTATCCTCATGACTCCAAGTAAATAAGCAAGGCTCTAGATCAGAATTTACAAGTCCTACAACAAAGGCTACTTCAGTGAATTTCTTGTTCCATTGCTTGGGACTAATTTGAAGTCCATAGAGAGACGTCTCCAGCTTGCAAACTTTAGTTCCTCTTTCCAGATCAGAATGTGGAGTCCCTTCAGGGATTTCCATGTAAATTTCCTCGTCAATCTCACCATTCAAAAACGCCGTTTTAACGTCCAATTGACATGTATCTAAGTTGTATTTATTGATAATAGCAAATACTGCCCTGACCAAGTGCATTCTGGATACTGGAGCATAAGTTTCTCTTTGTTCGTAAACTTTTCGATCTTTAAAATCTCGAATTACTAATCTTGCTTTATGACGTGTCTTGCCTGTTGCTTCTAACTTGCGTTTAAATATCCATCTCGAATCAATGATATTAGCTTCCTGACCATTTTAATTACAGATAGGTCTGTCTACAATTTTCCATACATTATTTTTACTCATCGAATGTAATTCCTCTTCTACAGCAACTGTCCATTTATTCTTTTCTACGCCCTGCATGGCATCTTTGAAATTGATTGGATCAGAATTGATATCAGCAAGAAAAGCGTGACAGACCTCGTCAGTTGAATTGTCCAGACCTAACTCACCCTCACCCTGTGATAAACAAGCCAAAAATAATCCAAAACTTAAACTCGCGTCGATTGGTAATTTTGTAAGGTTTGATTCTTGCGCTGTTTCACTGGTGGGTTCATCGGCCTCTTTTATCTCTGACTTTGGAGTCACTTTTCTCGATCTATCCTTTTTTCTCTTCGCTACGCCCTCCGATTTGTATGTCTCATCAATTTCGCTAGAACCCTTGTCAAACCTACAAACCAATCATTTTTGTTTATCACTTCTTGAACTTCCGGGACATCTTTGATCTCGCTTCTCTTGTACTTATCACCATAGACCTTTTTCTCATTGAACCTGACATGTCCACTTTCATAGAATTTGCCTTCTTCTGGTTTCAGCAATATGTATCCTGTTGGAGTGTAACCAACCAGAACACCTCTCACACCTATTGCTCTAAATTTAGGTCCTACTTTTCTCTGAACTATCATGTACGCCAAACAGCCAAATCTCTTTATCTGATTAATATCAAAGCTATTTTTCGGTGCAAACTCTTCTAATGGAGTTTTCATTGCATTAGATTTGTGAGGAGTCCGATTGTACGCGTATACAGCGGTAGACAGCGCCAGATCCCACATTTTTTCTGATAGTTTCGCGTCAAACATGTACGTACGGTCCTTTTTCTGGATTGTCTGGTTGTATCTTTCCGAGACGCGATTATGTTCCGGAGTGTCAGGACTCGCCAGTTGTAATTCCGCACCTAATCTTTTCAACACCTCAACTGTATGTCCTCCGGTAAATTCTGTCCCTTGATCTGACCTAAGATAACAGACCTTCGCATCGTAACCCAACAAGTTTCTACAACTCCTGACAAACATTTCAAAACACCGACCTGTTTCATTCTTCGCTCTCATCGGGTATGCCATTGCAAAGCTCGATTTATCGTCAATGAAGACTGATATAAACCTGTATCCTTTTGGATATGTGGTTAGAGATATTGGCCCCATTACGTCAGAGTGTATTAATTGCAAAGGTTCTGTTGCTCGACTCCTTATCTTTGGCAACGGCAATCTGTTGAATTTAGAAGCTAAACAAACCTCACACTCCATTATTAACTCATCAAAAATCACGTCTCTTAATTCTTTGTTATCCGGGAATTTTAATTGAATTGCTTTGAGATATGCTATTGAAGCATGAGCAAACCTAGTGTGCCACAGGTAATGCTTTATTATGATTACTACGAAGTTTATCTTCATCATTCATAAACGTATCAAAATTCTCGTCACTATCGTAAGATCTCATCTCATCTGCATTATTTATTTTCCTATCACAAATTGAGAAATCAAACTTCGAGTGTATGAGCGAATCTAAAATTGATTTAGGGTTCTCTATACTACTCAAATTGTTATCTCGTTCAACTTCAGATTGTTCACTCTCTATTACCTCGGTTGATGATTCTACAATTTGCTCGCCACCCTGAACTGGGATTTCCTTATTCGAAACTTCATCAAGCTTAGCTGTGACACTACGCGTTATATATTTTCTTATCTCAGTCTCACCTTCTACCATATTGGCTATAACTTGTGTAGTTGTATTCTTCTGGTATTGTTTACTGACCTGACAATACTTACTTATTTCCAAATCTATAATCCAATATGGTTTTCTATACACACCGGAGATAAATAATTCATTAGAATCTGGGTTAAAGATGTCTATTCTCTTGTCGTCCAGATAAATCCCAAGACCCATTTCTGCGAAACGTCTTAATGACGGTAAGTTAGCTTGAAGAGCATCAGCAAATATAACCTCGTCTATCACAAATTTCTTTCCATTTAACAATTCGATTTCTACCTGACCTACTCTCTCTATTTTCAAGTCCGAATTTCCATTTTTATTTGCACATTTAATCACACCCTTTGTTTGCTCGTCAATCGACTTGAATATTAGCTTCGAACTTGTTAAGTGCTCATTAGCACCAGAATCTGCTAGAAATTTAGTGATAAACTTATTTTTATGGAGATTTACTCCCACATGCATTGCCTGACCTACACATGGTTCATCATTCACTTCTATGTATTCTTCTGAACAGTTCTCAATTGACTCATCCTTTTTTTATCTGTTCCTGAGGTTTTGCTTGAGTCTTCCTCACTGATTTTTGTAAGGACTTTGGACTTAGAATACTATATATATAGTTTTCAGAACCAAATCTGAAATTAGGATGTTTCGTACGGTTGAATGGCGGTAGCACGTTTAACCGTACGACGTTTGAAACTGATCGACCTTTTGTTCGGGGAAATATATGCGGTTTGGGGCGTTAAATTAGCAAACCAATGGAGTCGAATGGGGATAATTCTTGCACAATGGCAAAGAATTGAATATGTGCTAATTTTCTGCAAGAAAATAGCACATATTTACATAGAATACATATATATACACCGATACCATAGAATATATAAATATATATATATATATATATATATATATATATATATATATAT